AACCCGCAAAGACAATCCACGCTCCGCCCACTCACTTCACCGGCGATGGTCTGACCTAATTGTTGTTAACTTTATTTAAATTTCTTTCTACCCGACAGCGAAAATTATAAAAAAAAAATTGTCGAGCATTTTACATTACCAAATTTTTACTGGTTATGAAAAAATAACCCCGTGATTGATAAAATGAAAAAAAAGTAGCCTGAGATTCGAACCGGTAAACTTACATATTACGGCAAACATACTAGAATACTGCGCCAAACTAGTATATATTGTGACAAGCCAAAATTTGATATTAGTTATTACGTATCTGTCATATTCGGCGTGACAAACTTTTATAATATATTTAAGCGTTATGACAGGAGAAGAAAAATATTGGGTTGCCCAGTAAGTTCGTGCCGCTTTATAAGGAAAATTGAAACCCTGTTCTCTTAAATTTTTGGAAATGTTTTTAAATTATATTGATACGACTCTATACCTAAAACGTCTATTATTTTTGGCTAAAATTTTAAAAATTAGTTTTTATCTCAACCAATGAAATGAAATGATTCACAATATAGAAATTTTTGTGACGTTTGATAATGGTGGAAATCCGAAAATGAATCCACTTCAGCTACAGTCTATTGTAAGCTTTATATCGAAAATCAGAACGAACTTTCCGGACAACCTATAATGTTAATACAAAGTGTCAAATGAATGTAACAGAAGTAGTTTATTCCAAATTGTATCACAAGTATATAGAGATAGAGTTCAATTTTGTCAAATGTACCGATATTTTTGCGCACCTTGACTGCTTCGTTACTTATGACGCTGTGGCTGCTACGATATTTATGAGCATCTTGTATGTACTCATATATTTGACGCTGTGTATGTACCGATGTATTTGAGCAGGGTGAATGTATCTATTATTTTGAGGACTTTTGTTGTACCGATATAATTGATTACTTTTGATGTACCTATATATTTGCATATCTTGTCTGTGACGATCTATATGACGCTGACTGTACAGTCAAGGGATTTCGCGGTGCTCCAGTTATAGAAAAACTGCCTTGTTACTTGCAACGAGACAAACTTCGCCACTTCATATAAAATAATATATTAGTTGGCAGTGAGTTGGGTAAACGTCGGCATAATAGTAAAAAGCTATTAGTCGTGTACCACTAACCGAAATAGCACCAGTTTCCCCGATTGTACGTTCCAGATGGCGTGTACGATCCACATTAAAAATTACTTAGTATCGGTTTTAGTATTTTTATAAGTATGTGATTCCGCTAATCAAATCCATACAAACAAAAATGAATTTGTAATTTGTTTCAAAGATAAGTGAAAACCCACGTTAACATGGTGTTTGTCTCTTTGTTATTAGTTAATCTACTAGAGCTAGACCAAAGAGAAACCAAAGAATACTTGCACCAGTGCATTTATGCTGAAAAAGATACCACTGGAAAGCAAATTTTACTATCACCTTTCTTTTTTTATTCAACTCATCGTTAATTCTTCACAAGATATGTGTCTCTGATTTGTAACGAGAAAGATACGTGTAGGTCGAAGTTTCCGCTACAAGGCTGAATTCGTCAATCCTCGCCTTATTTGAAGTTATGTTACTTGATTACGAGGTTTATGAAGCATTGGTTACATTTTGTATATGTAAATGAGCGTACACACCATCTGGACATGTTTTTAAACCTTTACCGGTCAATGTTATTCACAAAAATATATGTAATGAATAATTATTTTATAATTTATCTATAACTGTAAGATTAAATTTGTAAATGTTTTATTTAAATATAAGTAATAAAAATAGTTATATTAATAGAAAAGTTATTTGTACGAATTCTTAAATAACCTATATCAGGGGTGTCCAACCGAAGGATCGCGACTAGTCCATTTTATAGCAAAGAATAAAAATACAAATACGTAAATCATTACGTAGCAGATGATTAACATAAAGTGAATATTATGTCAGTTTTATGACTTATCTTTAAGAAAAAATCAATACTACGTAATTATATGCTGAATTATGTTGTTTCATTTAAGATTCCAAGATGTTTTTAATTGATAGGTCGCATAAGGTTTCGACATTAAACAGTTTGATCACCGGTCTAATCAAGTTGTCCACCCCTGGCATGTAGAAAATTTAATTTATATAGCAAAATAAGATATAACGTTTCTATTAAAAATGGGGTGCAAATTTGTTGTAATTCCAGAAATGTTATGTACAATAATAACCATTACTGAAATGTTTTTGTTCATTTATTTTGTTTCGAACTAATTATCTACCATAATTGCGTGCGCATGGGAATATAATAATATTTTAGGTAACCTCAATTTTTAATTACTTTTTCGTTTTATTCGTCAGTCTTGATAATTCAGGTTTTAACCAAATTAGTCGAAACTTTAAAATGAGTTTTTGTAAGTACCAATCAGATTAAATAAAACATGTTGTTTTCTTATATTTTATTTTGAATTAGTTCTGTTTATTCTGAATTAATTAAGTACAAAAGGAGTGTTAAAATAATGTAACTTTTTTTTAAATTACCAAAAACAGATTAATACTTTTAATATGATTGTTAATTTTATTTTTAAGTATTAAAGAATAGTTAAATAGTTTGGAAAAATATTATTTAAAATATAGAAAGTTTAACATTTGCTTATCGTTTTGTTCGCAGTGTAACATATATTCGTATGTTTATTTATTCCCCTGGGCTGTTCGTGCATCGCCTCGTATATTTTAAGACCTAATTTACATTCTTACAAATGGAATCCAGTTGGACTGACGTCATGTTTTGTTGAAATTGGGTTACTGTTACTAAGAGTTTCGACTGTCGAAACACATTTTTAAAATAAAAGATTAAAAAGCTAGCGGCAAATTGATTTCGATAACAAAGAGTGACCGCTACCCATAATATCGTCAACAAATTATCGCTGCGCTGTCTATCTTAAATGACAGAGAAAGGAACGTACAGAAAGACGGTATTTTTCCTTACGAGTCCCGCCTTTCCCCTTCCCTCCCCAAAAGGATTGCAAGTACCACCGGCACTCACAATCATCAAATGAATCGCGGATTTGCAACTACTTCAAGCCTGTCTTCTGTGTGGTAGTGGTTTAGCACCGGTCAAGCCAGCCCATTCTTGCAAAAGATGTTGCGGGCTGTACATCTTATTCTCTTAGAAAAACTGAAATAACAATAATAATTAATTAAAAATCGAATTAGTAATATGCATGTTTAATACTTTTACAGTATATCACTATTTCTGTATTTGAAAACCTTCTAAAAATAAATACTATTACTAATATTATAAATGCGAATGTTTATATGGATTGATAGATCGATGTTTGAACGTATCTCCAAAACGGCTGCACGGATCTCGATGAAATTTGGCATGCATATAGAACACAGTCTGGAAGAACACATAGAATGCTAATTATGTTTTTTTTTATTCCGCAAGGACGAAGTCGCAAGAAACCGCTAGTTTAGAAATAAAGATATAATTTACTAGCTGTTGCTGAGACTCCATCCGCGCGGAATTAAAAAAGGACTTCATTAGTAGCCTTTGTATTCTTTCATACTATGTTCTATATGCATGCCAAATTTCATCGAGATCCGTGCAGCCGTTCTGGAGATACCTTCAAACAAACATCCATCTAAACATTCGCATTTATAATATTAGTAAGATAGCAAGATTAGTAAGATTGTCTTCTTTTAAAAAATATCATGGTGACTTTTATAGTTTACTAAAGCTGTAGATATTATTGGCTATTCTATAAACATTGTTATTGAAGAATTATATCTGAATGAATAGACATTTTCCAACAAATTAAATATATGTTAAGTATACAGTGGTAAGGTAATTTATCTCTTTATCTTTACTTGCGTGATACAAATTCAAAAGAATAGATTATTCAATCTTATCATGTATGTGATAATGTGCCAAGTCCTGACCGGACGGGTGACTCATCTAGTATTAGTATAAATGTGACACTTTTAAAAGTGATTTATTGGGATTAGCTGGTGTTTGAAATAAACAATCTCAGGTAAATATTATGTTCCTATATTCGTAATCTTTATAAAATATAAATAAAAGCATATTATGTTAATAAAAAAAAACTAGTTATAATTATGAACTTATATGTATTTGTTATTATTACTTACGTGCACTGGATGCCGGCGGCACAGGACCGGGCATTGTGGCAATCGATGGGGGAGGCCTACGTCCAGCAGTGGATAAATCTAGGCTGATTATGATGATGATGATGAATTTGTTTAAAAAAAAATTATTACCTATTAAGTATTTAAAGTCTAACTAAAAGTTAATCCTAAAACGCAGAGTGTTCCAAATTATCATAACGAAAGAAGTTTCTTGACATTTGGCATAGATTTGGGGAAAATTTGCTTGACTTGTGCTCTTGTAATATTTATCCTTTTTCAGTAATCTAATTAAGGTTTTATTTAAATTATTCTTTGACTGTTTTGTTTTCAGACAATGGGTCTGTGCTGCAGTTGCTGCTGTGATGATGGTGGTGGTGTTAACGTGGTGCAGCAGCCTAATGAGGGCGGCTGGGGCGGCGGTCCCCCCTCTGTTATGGTGGTAGACGACGCGCCAGGTCCTATGGGCAGATGACAGAGTGGTTATTAACATTTAATTAATTAATATTTATTGATTTTTTTGCAATTTTTATTAATATTTAATTATATTAATAAAAATGTTTATGTTCTATTTTTTATTTTGGCAAGTAATTTCTTTGATTTTATATTCAGTTATAATGATTAAAGATTTGTTTCCGATGTAATGGATTTTTCATTTCCCTAATTTATGATTAGTTAACATGGTCGTATAACGCATAAATGGTATGATCTGCACGTCGCGGTTTAATCGTCTTTCGATAGACCTATTACTTTTTCTTCTTATTTTTATTTGATAATAACATACAAACCAGGGTAATTGCATTATTTTTCATCAGTTAATTTTGTTAATAATTAACATTGTTACTCTATTTTTCCGAAAATTTTAATATGTTTATGCACCTTTGTAAAGAAATTTCGAAAATGACTATAACCTAATAAATATTTTAATTTACATGTATTAAAAACTCATTATTATATCCCAAGATAGCTTCGGTGGTTTTTAATAATAAGGTAATTTTAAATATTTAAAAGAAAATTATTTTGTAGCAGTATGTAATGATAAATTATCTAGTTGATTGATCGTAGTCTTGCCGTCTCTATCAAATCCAGGGTTAGATAAGTACAGTTTTCATGGCTGCGTTTATTTCTACATATTTTAACAGATATTTCTTGACTTTTACTAAAGATGGCGCTGCTTTATTAAGAAAGAATGTCTGGATATTTTTTTAATATGTGAAACTGGCAACTATGAATAAATAAAAGAATAAAATATTATAGCTCACAAAATATATATGAATTTATTGTATTTTAGTTACAAAAATAGATCACAATTTCAACTTTTATAATATTGTGTGCGAACAATAAAAATAGTTAAGCAATCATCGTAATATGGAGTACACAGTAAAAAAACATGGATCAGTGCATTTAACCAACGACGCTGCAGAGTACTTCGTATTGTTTGTATGGAACCTCGCCGCCGCTGAACGAAATGTAACAACAGCCATGGCTTGGATGGATCTGAAAATACAAAACATATTGCACTCGACTGCAAACTACGGTATGGCGTCAACTGTTACTAGGAATTATTGTTTTTTTAATTTCTTTCAGTACTAAAAAAATTATAATTATGTCGTAAACCAATACCAAATAGATAACCACTTCATAATAAAAATTTAATTTTTGTACTAGTAATTATCATTTATATCAGTTACCAATAATTTAAACTTTCAAAGCATAACAAAGCAAAAGAGAATACCGACAAGCAAGCTAGAGGACACGAATATGTGAAGAACATTACCTTTCCCGGTGTAAGAGAGCGCATGTGCGTCACCCTGCCGACGTACAACGGCTCTGCTTTGTGCGTGTTGCCTGCTGCGATCGCCCCGGGTGGCACCTGACCATTGTTAGCCGGCACCCAGCGTACTGCGTGAGCTGGCGCGCACAGAACCTGGAAAGTAATAGTCCATACAGAGGAACTCGAACGAGTTTCAACAGGTAATTGAACTTCAATGCCAAAGTTGAGCTTAATATGTACCTTTACGCGTTATAATGCATGATTGTACTTACTTTCAGTTGTCCTTTCTAATACGACTACTGACCATTCCTTAATTATATTTTAAGAAGAATGAGTGTCAACATACACAAATAAAAAACCTTCATCAGTACCTCAAAGTTGTGTACGGGGACTTCTTTGCCAGCGTGTGGTATGTAAGCGGAACGATGCTGCACGGCAAGCTTGCCGGGCACACAGTCGCCGTTGTGGTGGGCGCGGATGACCCACAGGGGACTGCTGTCCCACCCCTCCCGCCCGCCAACCACCGCGCGATCGGCTAGCGAACTGGCGGTCATCGGGGTTGACGGCACCCAGTCAATGACTGGACCTGAATCTGCAAAAAGGTGCGTATAACGTTAATCATAGCAGAAATGGTAACGTTATGTGATTTCTGTTTGCTTGTTATATCTATTCTTTTCTTTTTTAAAGTGTGTCTACACTGCTGAATGCAAGTTGTAGATTTAGCTATACTGATTACTTGATTTATGCTACGAATAATATGTTTAACATAAAATACTTGGTGAAGTTCTTTTGTACGAGATGTTAAAGAATGCTCTTGTTTGTGTAATCCTTAAGCATGTTACGATTGTAGTAACGGTATTTTATAATAACTATAAAATAGTGGACTATATCAGGCTGATAATGTAATCATCATAAAAGTCTACATACTGTCGATGATGGTGACAGGTTCTGGTGGCTGCTGTGGCGGCTGATAGATGTGGTTGGTGACGTAGGTGGGGGGATAGGGCTGGGCTGGCGGGGGGTACACGGGCATCATGACCGGCGCGGGCATGTAGGTGAAAGCGCCCGGCGCAGGGGGCGGCGGGTAACCGGCGTACGGCGGCGGACCGCCTGGTGGAGGCACTGGAAATCAGAACGATCGATATCATCAATACTGCTAAAACTACATTTAGGTAATCAGTAAAGGTAACATAATTACTATCGCAATAGCGAAATTCGATTGCTTAGTGATGGGCAACTTCTTATAAATTACAATCTAGTAAAACAAACAAAAAACTTATGAAACTATAGCGTTTTATATCTTGATCATGAGTAAGTAATTACTTATTAAGTACATGATTAAGTTAACTCTAACTAACTTAGCTATATTTACATCTCCAGAAAAATGAATGTAAGTTTACTCACCATTAGACATGTTTACAAAAATTAAAACAAAACTCTTAAACAAATAAAATGCAGGAACGTTGTATCCCCGGACACGACTTTATCTATTGTTGAGGTGTTATCAACACAAGAAATATATCGAACTTGGTGGACAGCTCGTGTTGATTAGATAAATATAAGCCAGATAAAATGTAGGGAATGCATACTATTCTTTGAAATGTAATTATTTCATTTGAAACAATCGTTGTTTTGCGTATTTGTGTTCTTTATTTATGACTAAAATAATGACATAACCAGTCTGATATCTAAACGGAGTCATATTATTAATTTCCTATGTATTAGAAAATACGCCCACACATTGAGTTTAATGCTCTAAAATAAAAAGAATACAAAAATCTAATTTATTTAATTCAAGTATACTGTCAAATTAATCCCATTATAAAAAAATAAACAATTGCTATACGTAATCATAGCTCTAAGGTTATAATTTGGGCGTTGTCATCAAAACAATTAACCTCTAATATTTTTATAATAACACTACGTTGGTTAGTTTCTTTGAATAAAGACGTGTAAAATGTTTTATAAATATTTTCGCTTTTACAATTTTATTTCTACAATTTTTGGTTTGCGAAAGCCATTTGATAGAACAGATGAAAATAAAAAACCTAGATACAGAATATGGATAGTGATATGGTCATTAATAGTTATAAGTCTTACAACTTTCAGTTATTTCTTTTTTGTAAATTTTAACAATTATTTGGATCTAAAAAATAATCTACCAGATATTGACGGAATTAATAATTTAATAGTTAACATAATAATAATTGTTATGGAATTAACAAGCTCTAATGAAGTTTTTATCCAGATTTACAATATTGTTCGTAATATGTTTTTGGGACTTAAAATAAACAACGTTACTACGAGAATGTTCTCATACAAATTGAATCTATTGATTGGTTTCTTGTTTCTTTTGTTTTTGATTTTGATTATAAATGAATTTGTTTTGGGTTACCATCCATATGTATTTATCTTAAAAATTCCTTTATTTTTGACTATGACACATTTAATTATTCATCTGTGTCTTGTTCTAGCTTTCTTAAAGGTTATTAACTTTAAATTATCTCAAATATTAAGCTTTGACGATGAATTGATTACTTATAAAAATGTATCAATATGGAAAGATCAAAAATTAACAAGAAAACGTTCATTAGCGTATTTATTTAATGCAAAAATAGGCTTTATTGAAATGAATTCTGAGTACATTGATATTAAATCTCTTTGTCATAATTACGACGATATTGCTACATGTGTTCGCTTGTTGGAAATCAACCACGGCACCCAGGTAATTGGTATTGTTTTTGCCTCCCTTCAGCGTGAAGTAGTTTAATTAACTAGCAAGAAGCAAGACTTAAGTATAATCAATCTGTTTTAGGTGTTCTTCATTGTATGGTTGATGTTTTCTAGTGCAATTATTGGTGTTACAATAATCATTGTAATGGAGGTAAGATCTATCACTGTATACCTGACTGACAAACAAATGTTATACTTAAATGTATAGGTATTTTTTTTTACAAATATTCCTTTTAAATACTAATCAGAGATAAAGAAGTCACTAGAAAAAGTAATTGCCGCTTGTAAAACTGAAGGCGTTGGTTTTACAAAAATGTATATATAATAACATTTTTTAATATTTCTTATTTGTGTTATTAATTGCCTTTTTATCACATACTCGTTATTTGTAAAAAAAAAATTCGTTAATTATTGCAGAATGCGTCTTGGCTCGTCATTGCAAAGGTTCTTCAACTTTATTTATGGTACTACCTATGTTGTTACGTTAATGAGCAAATGAGTAAAGAAGTGGAACAAGCAGAGATACTTATCATGAAATATTTGATTAATTTTAAATGCGGTGAGTTATTGAATACATTGTAATATCACTGTAAATACCTTTCCTAAGCATAACCACCACGATCTTCGTATTCTTAAAACTTCTAGAATGAAATGATTGACTTTTTTGATTCTATTATTGCTATTTGATTGTCAAATCTTGTGTATTCATAATAACTATTAGAATTACAATATAGGCTACTCCTATTTTATCCAGTAGGTTAAAACTTGGATTTGATAGATCAATCTTTTCAAATGCGTTCTTTCATTTAACTTGCTGTATCACGCGACTCCATCCGAGCGGAATTTAAAAAATGCTTAATGAGTAAGCTATGTGTTCGTCAAAACTATGTTCTACATCTGTACTGAATTTCATCCGTTAAGCTGTTCCAAAGATACCTTCAAGCAAACATCCATCCATCTATCTAAACATTCGCATTTATAATATTAGTTTGATTTGTATGTATATTTTAGGTATTTAGCGAATTATCTATTACAGATCAATCTAGAAGAAATCTGATGTCAACTTTCAAGCAGCTGGTATCGACGAATCGCATACAGTTTACAGCCTGCAATTTGTTTCGTCTCAACTACGCCAACATACTGCGGACCATTGTCAGCGTTATTACTTACAGCATCATACTCAATCAATTGTTTTGGAGCGGAGAAAACAATTGAAAATTATTCCCTTTCACATTCATAGTTTTTAGGTTATGGACTAATATTTTCGACAAATTAGGAGTAAATCATGCATTTAAAAGTGCTTGTATGAGTCTGATGTAATTTCTGTTTTGTGTTCGTTTGCCTTTTACAAGGTGTCTACTTATAGACTAAAGAAACAATACGAAAAGAGAAGGAAACAAAAAAAGTAAATATGTTAATACATCGAATACTTCACGTTTGTCTTATGTTACATTAAGTTAGGTTAGACTGTCATAATGTCTAGGATTTTAGACTATTGTAAATTTAAATTATTCGGGATTATTATATAATGAAACAAATATTGTCTTTGCACCAATTTATTTAAGCTGAACATTTGATACAAATTCAAATATAATTTTCTCAAACAAACTTATTATAGAAATTATAACATTAATCCTGCGCTGTATACTGATGTTTTATACTACAGGTTAAACTCTTGAAGCGAATCTTTTCTCAAAATGCTCTAACCAGAAAAGTGGTTAGCCGCTTGCTTCCACTTTTACTTTGTTACTTAGTATCACTAACACGAATAGCTTTGTTTTTCGCTTTTTCTCAATGTTGGTACTCTAAGCAAAAGAGCCGTGGTAGTTCATCCCATACTAGACGTATACATGTATACTAAACTAAAGTCTCACTATTTATGTGGTATGCGGGTCAGGCATTTGAACGTGTTCCGTTGAAAGAATTTGGCGGTGGATGCGGTATTTCATATGGCGGTGGAAACGGCTTGCGGTCATTGTTGTCTCTGGGAGCCGACATATCTGAGGAGAGAAATATCACAAATATTATATGAAATAATAAGACGATTTCTCATCTTAGTTAAATAAAATGAACGTTTCGATTTTTTTATTTTAATTGACTGTTAAACGTTAAATAGAAAAAAAATATTATTTCGACCTTCTTGGCTTGGTAGTAAAAAGGTTGAGTATAGATATTCAACATGCCAGCTACCAAGAAAGTAGAACTGGCCACTAGCACATGATGCGTTATTTAAAAAAAAGAAAAACAAATGGAAATCGCGCGTGCAGTGAGTTATGTAGCGAAAAAGTGGTAATATTTTGATATGGACAATATTTAATAAAATTAATCATCAAAGGTAAGTACTTAAATACATATTTGTATTAACAAAGGCGCGTATGTCGTTATTTAAAATGTCATCGTTCTATGTCATTCGATATAAATGTGAAAACGTGAAATTATTCGTAAGTTATTTCTATATAGAAGACTGAAACTGAACTGAACTATTTTAAAGTTAAAAGCAATTTTACTAGGAATTAATTATAATTAAAAACAATACCTGGGAATTTTTCTCTGAAGGTTCTTCAACAACGAGCCTACACAAAATAAAGTCAGTTTCTTTTGTTCTGTTTATAAATACAGTTGGAATGTAAGATTTGTGCCGTAAATTATCTCTCATCTTCCAAAACGGAATTTCCACACTTGAAACTTGGGATTCACAATTGATATGATAATAGACGCGAAATAAATAATCGCATCTATATCAATATATATAAATCGATAAGGTTCGCCTGTATGTTCACAAACATAGATTTTTTATAGTATTTATTGAAATTGGATATAAAATTATATGCCATCTGATAAAAACATTTAATAGATTCAAGCTACTTAATGAAATTTATTGCGTGTTGAACTTGAAACTGAGGAAATTTAGGAATTAACCAAAGGTTTTTATGATATTTTTTTAAATATTTCTCCGCAAAGTTGCTATCGTTAATAGAACATTTTAATTTTTTTTACATTTACATTATATTAGCATTTTAAACCTCTCATCTGTAGAATTAAAACATTCAACGAGAAGATGGACAGTACGCATACCACTGTAAAAAAATCTTTTTATGGAAACAATTTATGTCTGAAAAAAATGACTCCGAATACTGAAAACAAAACTAGTGTTAGGGAATCCCGCTTTATTTTACGAACTCACGCCAAATTTTATATCTATGAGATTATCTTAACAGACACTTCTCATAGCTTTTTACATCATAAAACCTACAGATCATCATACTGCATAATATATCCTCAATAATTATTTTTCTAGATTTTAGTCGATTAAGACTTAGATAAGGAAACTATTCCATTCATATTCTTTCACAATTTTGACATTTGGAAAAATTATTTGATTGATTAACGTGTACACGTGATTAAAAAAAGTGTTATGCCCTTCAAAGAACAATCTTGCTATCTTACTAATAATGCGAATGTTTTGATGGATGGCTGGATGGATAAATGTTTGTTAGAAGGTATTTCCAGAAAGGCTGCTTGGATAATGCTGAAATTTGGCACAAATGTAGAACGTTGCCTGGAAAAGAACATATGTAACTATCTAAGTTTTTTTTTAAACCGCGCTGAAGAAGTCGCGAGCAGTTGCTAATTTTAACTACATGATGTTCGGAAATAGGTATTAATCAAAGACATTTAAAAATATCTACGTATTTTGTATTTCTTTGATATACTCCAGGGATGGAAGTATATAGGTACTTCTAAGAGTTCTAACCATACACACGTAAAATATATCTAATTCATATAATAGAGTACCTTTGTTGTTAAAATATCAAATATATTATAGTTTTTTTTTCTGATTAATACAAAATGTTAGCCAAGTGCAATCTGCTTTAAATTTAAATTACATTGCCCTCTATACTCAATATGTAATAACATGACAATTTAATGCAATCTTTGAAATACAGGGATAAGCAGTATAAAGTCTTTTGCGACACATAGATGGCGCTAGGTGGCACAAATAAAATAGGAATTATATCGGATTTTACTTTAAATTCGTCCTTTTGCAAGTTAAAGTGCTTTTCACATCAATTTTAATTAAAAAAAACTCATTGAGACTTTTAAAAATCATATTATTTCAAAATATTTTCGGTTATAGCATCACCGAGTTTATTAATAATTGTTACTGTTGTTTTAAGATTATTATCAAAACCATAAATATAAATAATTAATCTCAAACAAGTTGAAGCTAAAAATAAAACAAGAATTATTGTACTATAAAGTGTTATCGGACATATTTAAATCTTTACTCCGTTTTACATCAAAGTAAAAGCCGTGGTTACGTTGTTCATTGCACGTGTTTGGACATTCTTCTAGCTTATAATGCTTCATTATCATACGGCCTAGAAACGTGGATGTAGTTACTTATGGGGTACTGAGTATCATAGTACTACTAGGATATAATAAAAAATAAAATCCGTAAAAGCAATGGAATCGCTTGGCTCATCAGAGACTTTGAAGTACAAAAAGTAACTATGTCTGCCTTCTTAATTGTTTCCTTTCTGTTCATAGTTCGATTCCATTAGTTTTTTAAATGCAGAAATTTTATAATAACAAAAATTTATTGTACTTTGTATTGAGAATATTCCAGTGCTAATTTATTAGGTACCATGCAAATTATCTGATAAACGAATTAATTACTATATCAAAGTTTCCTTTTTGATAATATTATGTCATAATAATTTTGAAAGTGTAAAGAATAAAAAACCAAAATATAAATTTGCTTACTTTATTTCTTAAAAAGATATTTACAAAAATTACAAAAAAAACCAAGACTTAAACAATAATATAAATAAATTAGAGATTCAGTAGAAGTATCGTTAATATAAACTTATAAAAAGCATGGATCGTAACGATTTGACGGTTTCATACTGTTGGTCCTTTGTATAGAATTGCGTATGGTCGCAGCAGACACTAAACAAGAGTTTTGCGTTGGCGCCCTGGGTGTCGTCATCCATTGGTTTGTTGGATAAGCCGGTACTGTGCAGGGAGAATACCGAGCGTACGGTGGTGGACCAAAGCAAGGACTAGGTCCGACTGCATACTGCCGGGATCTCGATGTGTGGGAATTCATGGAACTTTGCATGCTGGAATAAATAATACATCAATTAATATTTATGTTAATTTTAAAAGAGTTTAAAGTCCCTCTTAGTTTGGACAAGACATCGTGCTTTGATAAACGATCTTTCTAACAGGCAGTTATCATCAGAAGTGGCATTTAACATTATGGTTGGTAATTTTTATTTAAATAAGTTATTTTTTTAATGTTAAAGATTAAAATTATTTAAAAAGAAACAAGCTTTAGGCTTAGAGTTATTTTTTATAGAAAAAAGTAAAAAGTAAAGTAGATTCTCTGCTTACTTTTTTTGTCAGTAAACCGCTTTGTAACTAGAACACAGAAAAACTCAACTCGTCTATTAGAGGAACTTCTTTTGAGCTCTAGTGATTGTAAATTGTACTACAACCCACAACGTTGTGGGCAGTATTTATACAAACATATTATCAGCTGCGTTCATCTGATCAACTTCGAAGCGTGTTCAGTGTTTATTTTAAGAACATTATCTATCCAGAATAATCTAGACTTAACGATAAATAAGCATATTAAAGCTAAAAATAAAACAAATGACAATTTTAATGCGACTTTCTTTATTGTTATTTATCATCTAGATAAAAATGATCGTGTAAATATTTCAATAATAATTTATTTGTTCTGCATTAATTTTTAAATCCTCATACATGAAACATAATATGTTAAAATCGTGCACATTCACTGAATAAAGTTTTGTTTTAAAAGGCATTGAAACGGTTTATGTCTAATTTTAATTAATGAAATTGGCAGATGTTTAGTAAATTTTTTGTTAGGGAAAGGATGGGAAAAAGAAATATAAGTATGCTAGCCAAAATAAATTAGTCCTACATCATGCTTCATCAGGCGAAGCGCGCAAAAAAATAGTAAATACTTCTTAGTTTGTTGTTACGTTGTACTAAGGTTGAGAACAATTCTAACCTGGTCAATGCGAAGATCGACACATAATTTATCAAGTAGAGTCATAGGATGTACTGATGTACATCTGAATATGAAAATGGAACAATTTTTACACTGTAGTCTTGACTGTTTCGTAATTTCCGATTTTATTTAAAAATTATATCGGAAACGGCAAAATAACAACGTTTGAGGATTACAGATTAATCAGCGAGCAAGAAATAATCGTTCAATTACAGTTAAGGATTGCGATAAAGTACAATTCCTCGTATTATTTATAAAAGACAATATTGGTTTGTTAGATTAACTCTGAGTCATTTGTTTCAATGTCAAATTAATTAACAATGTTAGGCATCAAAAATAACACGCAAATCTCGGTTTGCAACCATCTGCATCGCGTCTTACTAACTTTACGTTTTGGTAGGCTATAAACCATAACTATAACCAATATAAACGTCATATATTGCTTAGAAGTTACTAAATGTTAAGGGAATAAAAAACTTATTTGAATATCTATTTCATATTTATTTGTATTCACTTTCATATTTGTTTGTTTAGTTACACATCTTGTATAGTTGGTAAAATAGATTATTAATTGTTTACAATTTTCAATTTAAAACCTGGGATCATAATTATGAAATGCTCGAGGATTTTGTGCTCTGTGGCTGTGTCTGCGTTCAGTATTTACCGTGAAGATAGGAAAGATATAGTTCCAATCTGCTCCGCTTAGTGGTGAAAAAGTTTTTAGATTCTTGTTACTACTTGATCCTTCTGATTTTCTACGGACTTCGGTAATTCTTGTTTGAGGTACTTGTAAATGTTTCACTGGATCACGTTGCATACTGAAAAATTTATTGCGATTTATTATATCAATTATAATGTATTGAAACACCACACTTTAAGCGAATCACGCACTCAACTGCTATCTACGAAAATGATATGTGATACGAGTGCTCACTTTAAGTCATCAGGATTTGTTTTGATGAGGATTTTCCTGTCATGCGGAAATTTGTATGTGTTTAAATATTGTCCACAGGCCTTTTATGACTAAATAAGTAACACGTCCTTGTGTCCACCAACGAAACAATTGAAAAAACGTATGGATGTTAGACAATGCCGCTGCTACAAGGTTTCTTGGGGGATTCCGTAGTAACTATTGCTTATTCAAATTGATTTGCAAAGCTTATTATCCAAATAATTCAGTGAGCAGTTCAGATCGTTTGGATATGAATCTCATTAATGTTAAAAATACTGTTACTTACATTTTTTTTGTAAATACGTTGATAAACAAACACCAATTCCAACCAATTCCAATTTATATCTTAATAAACCTCTGAGAAATGAAAAATAAAAACAATTTTAACGTTAACCTTTTATGATAACTGATGTACGTATATTTAAAATTTAAACCACAATACGTGCAATGTGATAAGATTGCGAATTTATACAGAACGTTTCATATGTTTTGATACAATTTTATCTCTAAGTAACTTCAATTTCAAGCGCATTCAAAGGATGCATGGTGATAGAAAGATTAGACAAATTAATATTGTTATACAGTAAATGACAGTGTTGCTAGAGTTCGTTAAAGGTGCAGTTTTCTCGACCACACCAAGACAACTTGCCATTTACATGATAATAGATTTATAAATATGAGCCAATTGGAGTAATCTGAATCTCTCTTAAAAATCTTAAAAGTAGTACCTAGCGTAGGATTTAAGTGTAAATTATTAATTTTAAGGTTAAGTCGAAAATGCCAGTCATTCTTATGACAACTATAGTTAAATAGTTGTTTCGTGATTTTTTACAGACCTTGAAAGCTCAAAACATGAAGGAGTAAGGTGAAAATAAATAATGTTCAGTTAAGAATTTAATAAATATTTTTTCTTTAATTTCGTAATAGTTTTAATTTAAATTGACCTATAATATTTTGAGATTACAATAGTTGTATAACACAAACTAATATTTATAAAAAATAAGGACAAAAATTATTTTGATTTGTCGAATTATTTGATCTTCTTATTGAATTGTGAATAGCTGCAGCGGAGACGAAGCAAGTGTTTTGTCCCTGTGCCATTTGTAGAGGGGGTCCAAAACAAGGGCTCGCAGATGCTAAGGTCCTTTGTAAAGACTGATTGAACACCTGACTTGAGGTAAACGGTGGAAAGCCTGGCCCGAAACAAGGATCAGGTCTTCCTGAATATTGTCTACTGGAAGTAGGACGTGAATTCGTAGACTGCATCCTGCAATTAAATGCAATTTTTTATTTAATACAATTCATAAGTTACTGTATTCAAATTATTATAAGTTTTAAATTTCTAATATATACTTGAATAATAATATAAGGGGAAAAGTTAGGTTAGGTAGTACTCACTTGGATTTTATACAATCAGATTGTTTGCCTGAATAGAATACCAGAAAACTAATAACAGAACCTTTTGAGCATTAGTAATTGTATCTTGTGTGACACAAATAAAGTACAGACCAGTATTTATACAGACACATTATCAGTCGGACAATCATACAAAGCTGTCTGTGGCGAAAAAAACAGAAATAATATTGAAGTTAAAAATAAAACAATTGATCATTTCTTTGTGATTTATTTGTTATCAGCCATACAAAAAGATGACAGTAATAGTTAACTTTATATTTAATGATTCCATTAGTCAGGTGCATTAACAGTGGTAGAGCCTGCAATAATATTTTTTGCATGAATGGGCCGGAGCGACCGGTGTGCGTCCCCCTCTTCTGTCGATTAAAGGTAGGCAACGCATTTGCAATTTATGTCTTTAGCAACGGTTATTGCACTATTTTGACATTTTTTTAACTCTTTACTACCTTTTGCTATTAAAAATATACATGTCACGTGTTTTATAACAATTAGCTGTCGCCCGCGAACCCGACCGCGCGCAATTAAAACAAAAACACTCAATGAGTAGCCTATGTGTTATGTGTATCTGTGCTAAATCTTATATATAAAATACTCGTATCACAATTTTCGTTCCCATACTCCTCCGAAACGGCTTGACCGATTCTCATGAAATTTTGTGAACATATTGAGTAGGTCTGAGAATCGGTCAACATCTATTTTTTAACCCGCACGGACGGAGTCCCGGGCGACATCAAATTTCATCTAGATCCGTTTAGCTTCCGGAGATACCTTCACATAAACATTCATCTATTTATCCATTCATCTAAACATTCGCATTAATAATACTAGCGAGAAGAAAAGAGGAATACACGATTTTTTTTCGAGTTAGGATTTATCTTGTTAGGACTTTCGCGAATGAATCTACGACAGAACGCATAGATTGATAATTGGTTTATAAATTTCGTGATGACAGGGTGAAAATTGTATTTCATAATGTATTATAGATTCGCAAACTTTCAATTGATTCGAGATTTCGCATTTTCTGATAAGATTATTGACGATAATATTCGAGGAAATCTTTAAATACTAATTTAAATATTAGTTATGAATAATCAGTATTTTTTTAATATTATCTTGTTTATCTGAATGTTTCTAATAAAAATATTAATTCTCTTGAATCATAATTCTTAACATAATCTCATCAATTTACTAAGAGATTAATTTTATACAAAAATTAGAATTTAAATTTTTTTCTCTAATTTAAGTCTAGTCTACTAAGGATCCCTCATTAACCACTAAGATTTTAGTGTGTTCTTTTCTAACCACTACCCTGCCTTTTTCTCTACAGTGGGTTGGCACAGTATGTAGCTAAGTCTTAGGCACATCTTTATCACCGTTCATATCTAAATCCACTCCTTTCTCCCTAATATATCCTTTTTCTCACAATCTATCCATACTTTTTTAGTCCTAATCTGTCTTTGTAATCATCCACATTTTTTTTATATCATAAGGTGGCAAACGAGCGAGCGGGCCACATGAAATCGCTGAAATAGCGAAGAGACCGTTGCCCATAGACATACGCAAATTGCATATGAGTTGCCTACCTTTAATCGACGGAGGGGAGGATGCACAGAAAGAAAATATCTTCCCTTTCCATGCATCCTCTTCTCCGGAAAGTCCACTTCCACTTCCCATCCTTTCCTTGTAAGAAAAAGGGTGGGAAGGGAAAGAGGACTAAATAAGGCCTCCGGGACGCCCACTCATCAGACGAAACGCGGAATTGCTTCCACTTCACGCTTGTCTTCTGTGTGGTCGTGGTATTTCACCGGGCGAGCCGGGCCAATTCGTACGAAGATGTTAAACCGGGCTCTACCACTGTTAAAAACCACATTCAATCTTCACTTTAAAATTTACTTAGTGTGCTCTTGTATAAATATATATATATATATACTAGCGGACCCGACAGACGTTGTCTTGTCTACACGTCTTTAATTCGAATATTATTTAAAATTTGACACTGCGATGGTAGCGCCGTCTGTCGGATCCAATGTAAAACATTCCAAAATCAACAACTTCTAATAAATTAAAAATTAATTAAAAAAAACATTGTCCAGCGGACAAAATTGTGAATCTAAACCATTCCCAGATCCCCTTGAACACACACAAAAAATTTCATCAAAATCGGTCCAGTCGCTTGAGAGAAGTTCAGTGACATACACACGCACAGAAGAATTATATATATTGATTATTCTGATAAGTATCTGTGTACAATGACTTTTTGTGTCCTCTTACGTGTTATCATTGTTTAATTTAATTTATTCTTGCATAATAAGGCGATTATAACAATTCATAACAGTATTTGCCTTATTTATTACATTTCTATTTGTAGCGTTTCGATCGTTCTAACTCAGCAATTAGGTAAAAGTAAAATGAAAATAATTATTTGTATTGCAGTGTAATATTTAGCTTTATTTCAATTATATAATATCTTATAAATTACATAGTTAGGACCTAACTTAATGAGATTCTTCTTTATATTAATATTGATATCCTAAAAGCATGGTCCAAATCTATTAGGTCCCTGAGACCTCGTCGGAGGCCTTCGTAGACTGGCCGCTGATACAAAGCAGCTGTTATTCATTGGTAAGCTTGAGCTCATTGGCGCAGGGCTGAAGCAGGGAGAGAACCGTTGTACTTGAGGAGCACAAGGGTTAGGCGCAACTGGATTTGTGTTGGGTCCAAACACAAATGCACAAGGCATGCCGTTTAATCTGGGGTTGCGTTGCATCCTGGAAAGATAAATCATAATAAATATTGTATTTTTTAATTATTGGCCATGGGAATGTTACTGAATTATGAACACTTTGATATTTAGATAATAGTAACTACATGATCGAAGATCACAAAAGAGCTTTGTTAACTTCAACTATTAACAGCTTTTGCTTGTAACAATTTTTCTACAATTAAGAACAAAAAATGGAATATGCTTAATTTAAAAAAATAATGCTTAATATTGATTAATTGAATGATGTAGTTTGCACTTACTTTTTATGAGAATATAAAATCCGTAATATGCAAATAAATATGCGTATGAACGAAAGCTTGTCACAGAACTGTGTTGTATAGTTATTTGATCAGTATTTATACCTCACCTTATCATATTTATATTTTTAATCTGATGTGTGTTTCCGTTCACCTTATTTCTAAAAATAAATTATTCTGAAACAAAAATATCGCGCAATAGCATAATCTTTAAAGATAAAATAAATACATTTATTTATAGATTTTAATCGATTCTTTCGTCCAGTGCCTGAAGTTCATTGTTACGTACTGATCTTTGACATTTATTGCAATTTTTTCAGGAATGAGCGCAAATCTCTCAAATTTTCTTTATATTTCGATTACAACTTTAAATAATTTATTGAGCTTACTTATCGTACCTTACCAAAAACAGTGTCGGTGTCCTCTCTTAAGTCATTTTTCCCTTCCCGCCGAAACGAGTTGACGGAAGAGGAAACTCATAAGAAGAAAAATATTCTCTTTCTGTGTATGTACGAAAAGAAATCGGTTACGTATACGTCGTATACTAGTTTACGCAACTCTCTACTACCCAATTAAAGGGGTGGAGTTTGTCTCATTGCAGGGTACAAGGCAATTTGTCTGTAAGTGAGACACCGGGAAGGGCCTCGAGTATACAAAGCAATGTAGCTAAAAATAGTTACTTTGAAATTCAAGACAAGTCTTTCAACAGCTGAAGACCACAGTAAATAATCAACTAATAAAATCTATTAGTCATTTTGAGATTGCGACGGATTCGAGTGTTGTACAACGTGACCGTTGTTTTACTCGTTCCTATTATTATCTTACAATTTTTCTTTCTTAGCAACATATATCGCTTGAGAAAATCTTCCTGTGTTTGACCCAAATGTTAAAGGTGATGGACTATCCGCTTATTATGTTTGTAGATACTGTTACAAGTATATTTATAAATCATCCCTGTAGCATTCGTTGCGTTATATTTGGCTCGTTCACGTACCGACACCTGTTGCCGGTCCAAAGGTCTGACATCGACTGACT